ATAATCCGACTTGTATCAGTTCAAAAGGGGTGCCTGCCAAATAATCGATTTTTCAAAGGAAACTAATTGCATCATGTTTTAGGTTAGTGAAATCGGTGAGATACGTATTTGGAGGAAAATATTATGAATAGTTATTTCTGATTAGTCAGGGAAACTTAAAGGCGTACACTTTGAGAAACAATTTAAGGGCTACCTCTTGCAAAATTTCTTTTTTCAGATTTTTTTGGAGAGATGATTAAGGTGACTCTGGAGACGCTAGTGAGTAGTGTTGTTCAAGAACTACTAGAAATGGGGCCAAAAAGTTGTCTTGTGAAAAAGAGACAGCTTAAAGACTATTTGTTTGGAAAGAAAAAAATGGCAGTAAGGTACGCAATTTTAGTTTTCAATTTTTAATATTCTATTTCATTTGTTGGTTGGTTTGCAAATGTGTTAATATGTTATGATTCACATATGTATCGTATTCATTTCGTTGGACTCTATTTATGTGTTAGTTTTATGCCATTTAATACTAACATTTTTCAATTATCAATTCATTGAGAGAACTTACAAATTGCATGTAATTAAATATTCGATGTGTAGAATTGCGTAGGGAATTCAGGAATAAACCCTAATATACGAATGTGTCAAATTTCTTAGGATATATAAATTTATTTTCTTTGTAGGATTATATTTCCTCTTGCGAATTAATGACGAGTTTATATGTATATATGAGTCGCAATTTTTAATTGATCACGCAAATTACTTTAGAATAGCTAGATTTGATGGATATTATGAAATAAGTAATTGAGCATTAAACTGCATTGAATAGCCAATCATAATTAATTCGTGTTGTAGTGTATGCTGGCAAATACGGCCAAATTTGTCTGTAGAAACACGAGGGAATTTACGACTTGCCGCCGATTGAAATGAACTTGAGCTAAGGTCATTGTATCAAGGTAACGGTATCTTACCCCAAACATAGAATCAGTGAGGAGTTATTGGTTAAGATCATGTTAGTTCTGAAGTATGCAGTGTAAATCACCTAAATCTGAGCACGAGAAATATATATATATATATATATATATATATATATATATATATATATATATATATATATATATATATATATATATATAAGTAGTTGAATTTGTCTAGCGTGGGACATACTAAATATTTAAGGGGACAGCTTCGTACTTTGTAATCATAGCGAGAGAAAGGAGAAGGAGGAATACGGAAGGAAACCAATGAGTTAAAGGGGAAATCTACATTTACGAGATGTCAAAATAGCGAGTGTCGGAATAGGACCAAGCACATGGTTAGACGTGGGAACAAGTTTTGAGAAGACAGTTGACATGTGATGCTGTCTAGCCTGGAAATTGCGCTGAAAGTCAACACTCGTAAACATGATGAAGAAAGGTAAACTGTAATTTAATTCTGTCACTGACAATCAGTCGAATTGGAAAGTGAATTTTGGCTATGCTTTAATTGAACATGCGTAATTTAGTAAATCGGTTGTATGGGAATCGAATTTATTTTGATTATGTTAATTGATTAAAATTGTACATTTTTATTTATTGAAAGGGGGCTCGTTGCTATTTCTTTTTTTTCAATACTTTGCTCAGCTATATGTAACGTTCCATCTACACTGGGTAATTACACCCCCAGAGATCATTCCGTAGCTAACGACGCCGAATAATAAAATTGAGTAGATGTTTGCAAATGCATAATTTTGTCATGGTACAGGATTCCATCAGTTGAATGGAGTCAATAGTAAGTAGATTACTTTTGTGTTGCTATCACTGTTGTCCGAATAATAAATCTGTGTATCGTAGATTCATAGACACTGTATCTCATCAAGTAACGCAAGTTGCTGGTAAACGTAACTTTGTCCCGGTAGTCAATATGCACGCAATTCGTACTTTTCTGAGCCAAAAACATTAGATTTTAGCTACACAGAAACTACAGCGATAGCTTAATGAATATAAATACATCTCAGGAGTAAAATAACCATTATGCTTTCAAAGATGGAAAAAGCAGCGAGTGTGGAACGAAGTATTTCGAAGTTGTGCTCCTGGTGTCTTTTATGGTATGATATAAAGCAGGGGCCTCGAACTCAAACTACCCTGAGGGCTGCATGAGAACATTTTGAATGGCCCAAAAGTCGCTCCACCTTTCTTATATCTCATGACACCTTGAGACGCTAATCATTTCGAAAACCACAGGATACGGCTTGGAGGGCCTTATACGGCCCAAGGACTGCATGTTTGAGACCCCTGATATAAGGGTCATATGTAAGAACGGGTCATGTGGATAATATGAGATAATTTTGTCACTCGGTATGAGTTTTCCTTTAAGGTTATTGATTTTATCAACGTTAAGCTCACGTCAGCCACCTCTGCAAAACACCGCTATTACACACTATTGGTTAATTGGCTATACTAAGGGAGTCAACTCAAGAAATCCAATAGATGTCGCTAGGAAAAAGCACTGAAATATCTGATCGATGCTCCAAGGCTTATTAAGATTAACTTGTCGGAAACGTGCCTAGCGAAGATGTGCTGCTTCTAATTTACGAATCAAAATTTAAATTTTATGTTAACTTGACGTAGTTGTGAATTATTATAATGTTGAAACCGATGAATAGACTCGACGAGTATTTATTTCCTGTTCTTGTTATATAGAATACAACTGTGTGATGTGTCGAATTTTGAAAACTCTTAGAAGCCTTGGTTAAAGGAATTGTATCAAAGTCAACTTAATTAAAGTAGAAAGGGCTAGAGATAGTTAGATGATTATTTTCATTTCATCTCTGAACGTCAGAAGGGAATTCGTTATAGCCGACGTAACATGACTGAGTCATATGCTATGGTACGAGAGAATGACATAAGACCTTTTCCAAAATCGACCGGGTAAAGGGCGGGAGCTGGCTATAGATGATTGTTCAAAGGAACGTTAATTACTGCATGCTTAGTTGTTTAGTTGTCTTGTCAATCCAAAAATTCTACGGAACAGATTTAGGATACAATCTATTCCGATTGGTTAATATGGATTTATGGGCGTAACTCTGTCAGAAATTAAAGGTTTTTCTTTAGAAAAATTCTGCAGTCTTCAAGCTTTCGTAAGGAAAGTTAGATGAACTCCGAATTCGTAGCAAGTACGTTTTCGTTATTAAGTAAGGAGCCAGATAGTTGTCTCAGTTAGGAGACAGACTATACGTGAGCTTCATGGAAACGAATAAAGAAAACGGCAAAAGGTACGCAATCTTAGTTTCCCGATTTTAATGTTATTTCATTTGTTGATCTATTTGCAAATGTATTCTTGATATTATGTATGTATGTATGTATGTATGATTTCATTTTGCAGGATTTTAGTGAAATGCTAGTTACGACATTTTATTCTTTGATTTTCTAACTATCAATTCATTTGGAGAATTGGCAAGATTGAATGCAATTAAAATTTCATTAGATTAGTTGACAAGATTGCATGTAATTGAATCTTTAATACAATGGAATGATTAGGAATTTTCATGAATTAAACTTAAAGAATGATTGGTAATGTTTCATAGTTTTATGGATTACCTCTGTCTAGAATGAGTATGACCTAACATTACATGTATATCCGTATACTAGTTTGTAACATTTAATTGATCACTTAAGTGTATATCTATATGCTAGTTTGTAATATTTAATTGGTCGAGTAAACTATCTTAGAATAGATAGATCTGAGGGTCTAAGCCATATGTAACTTAACACTGCTGAATTGGTAGAGTAAGAAGTCAAAGGGGGGGGGTACATACGGGTTCATACGGCTGAGTTGAATTGACTACCCCTAGCGTGATCGGAATTAAGGTCAGGACAAGCCTTGACCATCTATGTAAACATAAGAGTTAGGGAGCAATGAGTTACGGCGGCAGAATTTATGCCTTTTATTTTCTGAGCCGAATTAATGTAAAAATATAAATATACTAGGGAATGTGACCTATTGTCTATTGCGAGACATTTTATTTATTGAAGGAAACAGCTTTCCTGGATTTACATGAGAAATCCCTGGACCGATCACAGGACCAGAGCAAATTCTAAGCCGAAATCTAAGTGCAGAGACGATTGTTAAATCAGAGTTCGACGGACAAGAGTCCAAGACCAAACAGCTAGACAAAGATCGACAAGCAGGGACGAACGGAAGTCTTGATGTCCGCATAAAAGAGGTGATGAAGTCTCTCATCGTTGCACTCAAAGGTCACATCTAATTGGCAATGAAGATAGTATATTAACGTTGAAAGTAATTTTACATTTAAAGAAATTTGTATTGTCTTTTTAGTTGAGTACATGTTAGTACCATTTTCCTTCTTTTGTAACCAAGTCATTGATTTCTTTTCATTTTAAATTCTGTTGATAAACTGATTATATTTTATATTTGTTCATTGAAAGTAGGCTCGTCGTGTTATTTCTTCAATATACTTGTTCAGTGATCTGCATTCTTCTTTCTATCTATCCACACTTGGTAAATTACACCGCGGAGGTCATTCTCTAGCAACGAACCGTAGTGAAAGAGGTTGGTGTGTTTTGCACACCGCCAATTTGTCACAAACTGTAAGTTAGAAAGTTGACTTGTATTACACAGCGCATACTTTTCCTTACTTATTTTAAAACGGGATGCTCTATGATTACGTGACTTGAAATGTATTCCTTTGTGATTGAACGAATTGCAACGTAATGCTATGTGACTACCTAAGTTGAAACGTACTACTTACTTAACCGTTACTTTTTTACATGGTGCAACTGCATTAAGTTCAGTCTTTAGTTTTCGCACTTTTGAGATTACAGCCGTTAAATATTTGTTATGATAATCTGAGTTATAAAGTTAAATTATTATTAGGGTTATTTACATTTATTCATTGAATATGCACCGTCAATACTCCTCATCGTATTAGAATCGTGTTCTACTCAACTTGTCGTACAATTGCCTCCATGAATTTTTTGTTACAAGTAATTCAAAATCATTTTTTTACAAGTAATTGAAATCGCTTCGGAGGCTTAGTGGTTAGAGCATCCACATCGGATGCGGGAGGTCGCTGGTTCGAACCCAGGCTGAGTGATACCAAAGACATAAATTGTACTGTGAGCTGTCTCGCTCAGCGCTCAGTTTTAAGAGCTTAGTGGGGACATTAAGCTACGTGTCTGCAGCATGATTCCCCATGCTAGACATCAGTATATACTGTCACACTGTAGACAATGTAGCGATATGACTGAAAAATTGTTCAAGCTACGTTGAAAGTCTAAAACACACATACACACAAGTAATTGACGACAAAGACTAGAAATACTTATTCATCCGTAGAAAGCCCCTGACGTCATATTGAGTAACATAATAATGGCTGTATACTGTTCTATACTGTTGACAAAAATTACTTATCGGCAAATAATCACCTATAATCTATTATATAAATTTCATGCAGAACACAAGGTGCATATGACTCGAAACGTATAATAGATGCAAACTTATCACAACACACGGCTTCTGTGGCGTGCTTTTTAATTAAAGAAACAACAGATTTTTAATACACGTAAGTTCCTCATTATACACGGCTTCTATCACATGCAGATTTTATGTAGCGTCTTGTCTCCCCGCATAGAAACAATTTGTATACGTGATCAAAAAGATCACTTTTTGACAAGAAGATTCATTTGCTCTCAATGTTACATACATCTATTCCCTCTGAAACCCTCCATCTGATATTCAGGTTGCAAAAAATGTATCTCATCAAACATGCGATACCTGTCACTCAAACTTCCAGATACCAAAAAATGATTTTTTTCTATGTACCAGATTATTTGAATACATATTTTATTAATCTTCGTACTTACATAAATAAAGGGAAATTTCCATCCATCTATCTATCTATCTATCTATCTATCTATCTATCTATCTATCTATCTATCTATCTATCTATCTATCTATCTATCTATCTATCTATCTATCTATCTATCTATCTATCTATCTATCTATCTATCTATCTATCTATCCATCCATCCATCCATCCATCCACCCATCCAATCATTCCATCCATCCATCCATCTATTTATCTCTATATATCTATCAATATACCCATCTATCCATCCATTCATCTATCCATTCATCCATCCATCCATGCATCCATCCACCAATCAATCATCCGTCCGTCCATCATCCGACCGTCCGTCCATCCATCCATCCATATCCAGAAAGGGAATCAAAACAAATAGCAGAGATTATCAAGTGACGCATTGTGAACTGGGCTTGATGTGAATGAAAGTTTCTTACTGATCGCACACAAACGCACACACACACACACACACACACACACATACACACACGCACACACACACGCCCGTGCACACACACTTTAGATCATTCTATGGAAATTTAACTTAGCTATAACTTAGCCGATATTTAACCAGAAAAATGAAATAAGACTTCCAGCAAGCATTTGCACTATAAATGAATAACAAAGGCCTTTAACCAGGTCTTACAGCGCCATAAGGACTGAAAATGTTATAGAGCCCGCCCCTCATACAAAAAAAAATGAAACTGAAAGAAAACTATATTAGGACAGAAACTATGTCTTTAGAATTTGAAATAACAATTATAATAAATGTTTGAATTAAAATAGCTTCTTTCTCGATCGAAATGGTCATGTATAGTCCATTAAATTTTTATTAGCAATAATTAATTTTATTTTTTTTCTGGTGCTGCTGTTTGCCTGCGCCCTAATTACGTGGGTAATCTGGCACTGTTCTTAACATAAATGTTCCAAAGAAGATATATAACAAGTATACAATCATAGACTAGTCACTGTGGCTGTGACCAAAGAAAGTAATTATAGACGGTATGGTGGAATTGAAACCTACCAGAAAATTTGTTTTTCCTTTTCCTTGCTCCATTGTTTATTTTAATTGACGTCTCCTTTTTCTCTAATTAATTGTCGCATGAAGTTGTCTTCTCTTTCAACAACAGCTGAAGGAGTTTATGAGTCAGTCAAGGAGTTTTAAGAGAGCCTTGATAAGATAATGAAAATTTAAAAAAAAATATATTTAGCCCCAATCCGCAGCACCGAAGCAAAGAAACGTCGATGATCACCTAATTTAAATCCTGTCAGGGCATCAAATACTAATTACCATCGGATGCTGACAGCGCTGAGTTTGATAGCTACGATCAGATTTCAACATATGAATACGATCATAAAATGGACAGGAATATCAAGGTCTAATCCTGAAAAGATGACGCGATAAATGACAAAGGGACAGCTATTTCAAGTGTGAATAATGCGGATTGACCCGTCATTAGCACTCTCTTTGATAGAATCTTCCCACATGAATAACTATCGCGATGATTGTCAAGCTTTACATCCAGCACATCCTTCCGATATCTTCAATGAAGTCTAATACATTTTTAAGTGAAGAAAGAACATATGTAGATCAACTGGCTGCGACAAGACAAACGACTGGTAGAATAATATGCATGACTCCTAGGTGATAAAAAGACCAGTATTAGAGGTAAAGATTTAACCTTAACGGTTAATCTCAAAAAGTCTGCTAATATAATAAAATAATAAAATAATTAGCGGTAATAGTTGCAATAAAATCATCATCATCATCATCATCATCATCATCATCATCATCATCATCATCATCATCATCATCATCAATCATTATCAACAACAACAACAACAACAATATCAATGTTGACGATGACAAAGACAATATTGATAATGATTGTTAAACATCAATAGCAATTTTATTTAATAGTTGAAACCGGTTTTGGGACAAACGTATCAAAAAGCTGCTACTTGGGCTAATATGACGAAGCATAACATCAATTTAAGCTTATTAATATGCTTGCTTACAAGAGATAAAAGACGGTGTCAGTTTAAATATAATCTTCCAAATCTGATACTAACTATTTGAGTGAAATTTCTTCTGTAACTGCAGTATCTATTACATATAAAAAAAATGTCTGAGCAAGCAAAAATAATAATGACAAACATTTGCCCTTCTTTACCACTATACCGAAAATCAGATATTTCAGCCTTATTGTGGTTAACTCCGCGTGTATTGTTAGCACTGCCTGTACGGTTAACTCCGCGTGTATGGTTAACACTACGTGTACGGTTAACTCCGCGTGTATGGTTATGTCCGCGTATACGGTTAACTACGCTTGTATGGTTAATTCCGCGAGCGAAGAATAATTTTCTCAAAGATTTTCTGGGTAATAACATAATCTATACATTTTTACGGAAACAATTCTAACGAATGTAGTTTCCACTGTCATTAAATTAAAGGTATGTTGCCAATGAAAAAAAATCACTATACCCGGTTTAAATTCCTTATTATATGTTGTTCATTACTCTTGAGATCAGGGGCCCCGAGTGGCCGAGTGGTCTAAAGCGCTGTCCATTACGGATCACTGCCATCTCACCTCCGTCTGCATGAGTTCGAGTCCAAGATTCGACGAATGTGGATATGTGAGAAAGCTTGCCAGTAGCTTCTCGTGGGTCGGTGGTTCTTACCGGTGATTTCCCGGTTCCTTCCTCCACCATTAATACTGGCCGCCATATATAGCCTATCGTCAGCTGAAAAATGGCGTTAAGCCCAACAACAACAACAACTACTGCTCTTGAGATCTGATTGCATGGTTCACTGTAAGAACGTGGAACTTTATGGTTTAACAATGCATGATATGTTGATAGTCACATGGACACAGCTGTTACAAAAGCGCTTGAAACGCGATTTTCTTTGAATGCAATTATTTTTAGTAACTGTTATTATGATAATAGGACGTTTTGTGGATATTTTTCTTTTTATTTGACTAGGCATCCTTAAATTATAACCGCTTTACACTGTTTATAAATCTTGAGAGCTCTGATTCTGTATAGATTAACTTTTAAGGTTACTATTAGTCGAAAATATAAAGGAGAATTTTTAATAAGTTTATCAAAAACTAGACTCAATAAAATGAAATTATGAACATAATTACGTTTCAATAATTAATAATACTTCTATTATATATTAAAAATGTATCATAAAACAAGTCGGCATGAAGTATATGAATAAATGACGTACGTACATGTCTCAACTGAAATGAACGAGTCAGGAAATGTATTCTTTTGTCTGCCTTACTGTGTGATCTATAGACCAATTCACGGTTATTATTTCCCCTTGAAAAACCTAGAGGGCGTATCGGTGCAACTCACTTCCGGATAGTTCATTCAATAAAGATAGTAGATGTAGATCAAGAAAATGTGACAGACCTATCACATTCCGCAAGCAAGATCGATATATCTCTATAACTATCTTAAAAAGAAATTCTATCAATATTTGATCAATTGGGTTTTTTTTCATCCTTTAATTTTTTCAGTAACTTGCGCTGTTACAAGCTTTAAAATCTATGATCTTTGTCCATTTGAAAACTTCATTATCTTTCCATTACAACCTCATGCTCTAGTTTGTATTACTGATTGTGCGAAAGTGTATCGTTGCTTAAAATGATTTTTACTGCAATTTATCTCGCTTGAAGAATTATGAAAATATGTTTATTACAGCTTTAATCATTGCAGTTAATAGAGATTGAATGAAAACGAGAAAAAATTCTAACTTCTTAAAGGGGAACAGAATAAAAAAATTCTTTTTATGTATGTTATTTAATTCGACTGTAATGTTTATAAATTACATATCGTAGGCGGGTAGTGATTATATTGCGCGGAAAATACCACGATTCTGTAAATTGCCAACAGTAATATAGTAAAAAAAAATAAATTTGTCATCAGCTTAAATCACATGAATGATCACTGTGAATGATGTGAAATTTTCTCTACAAACAAAATCGCATTACCATTTAACACCTGACATTTCTCTACCGTATATGTAAAGTTTTATTACCATGATTAAGATTAAATTAAAAGAAGGAATAAAACAATAATATATATATATATATATATATATAAATATATATATATATATATATATAGATGTATATATATATATATATATATATATATATATAAATATATATATATATATATATATACAATCGATAAAGACTGTTGCATTTATATTTTTC